GGAATTCGTCATCCGAGCTCATCGTTGCCGAAGCCTTCCTTGTTTTCCCATTGAGCGGAGGGAAGCCCCAAGTGAATCCATGCGTCTCCCGAGACATTCGGCTGAATCAATTCGGAGATACGGATCTTGGTTGAGATCACAGACAATTTTCGCTCCAGTTGGAAAATTCATACAGTCTTCTCTCAGCGGTCTTCCGTCACGAATGCGGTTCCATGGGGGATGATTAAGAGGAAATAGCTACCGGTTCTATAAATACCAGGCCAAAGTCCCAACTCGAACCAAGAAGATTTCTTCGTTTTTCTGCGTCGCACTATGTGTTTCCCTACGCAGATCGTAGTGTCCTTGTCGCCCTTGAGGTGTAGGCGAATTATCGTTCGCTCGACGGGAACGTGGGAAAGCTTCGTTTATTCTTAGAGTCGATCTTTAGAGCGAGCTGCTTGATAGCGATTATATGGATTTTCTCAAGCTCTCGTGCGGAGAATCTGAGACTTTCTGTCGTGCATTCGAGCTTGCGTCAAAATATCAATCGTCGCGATTTCGGTCGGCTCACCGAATCCGAAACTTTCACTCGGACGTCGACTTTCGCTTAGGGCCAAAGCTATCGCGTCAGTAGTTGCCTCTGCGACGGCGGCGTTGCCTCGGATGTTGCCAATCACTTCCTACTCGTGCTGCTGCTACTGGTAGCCGCGGCGATGGCGGCAGTGACGGCGGAGCATCGACCAGCGATGACGCAGCGATGCCTCTCGACTTCCCCCAGCCGATGTCTCGTGCGATTTACGTCTAGTCTTCTGTGGATAAGAATCGTACTCCGATCCTCCGGAGTAGAGTGTCGGAGCAATTTCCCTCGTAGTGGGATCCTCCATTTGAATATTCGCGGCGCCTTATTGAAATCGAGAGAAGAACAAATCTGCCTGGGCAGAAACGGCGGAAGAGACCTTCTTCTCATGTCGAAGTAGGAGCCAGGAAGCTTTGACACGATCTACCCGCTCGTTCCCCGTGGATCTGATTCCGATCCGGCGCAGATTTGAGACATGTTTTCACCTGTGATTCCGTTCTCGCCGCGTGCGTCTCCTCCTCCCGGTCGGATGACGGAGAGGTCCGAAGGAGGACAGTATTCGGGGCTTTCACCTTTGAGAACGCAGCGGTTATGCTCGGTCGACGGCGAAGCTTCAAAACTTGCCCTCAAAACTCTTGCTATCGTTTCGCTAGATGCTTTTCCTTTCTTCTCTTTCTTCTGGATCGCTGTTGGCAAACCGAAGCCACCGTGGAAGTTGTTGACCTCCTTTCGCATTGCGAGCCGGTCAGATATGAGCTGGAGCTGAGCAGGCCTGGTCTAGCTGGCTCGCGAAGTTTTCGACGGTCGGTGCTGCTGACTGACTAGTCCGTAAGCTCGCGCGCCAAATCGCCGGCTGACCGGAAGTACCGTATCTCATTCCTATGCCAAGATTTCCACCCTCCTCTTCATATGCCGTGTCGCGGCTCCGCGAGTTAGAACTCTGCCGAAGCGAGGGAATATGCTGGGAGGCGACTCATACCAATCGGCATGGAGAATGAGGGACGCCCATCCTCGCGCTTTGTTCGCACCGCCGGCATCCGGTCTCTATACGAACCTCGAGGTGGAGCCTCTGGATCATTAATACACCGCCTGGAGAAGACGAGAGGTGTATTCCAGACAGGTCGGTACTCCGACGCAAACGGAACAGTCCGCTCCATCTCGTTACAAGTCAATCTTTGTTCACGGAACAGAGGAGCAGTCTACATAGTGTGAGGTCGCGATCGCATTCGTTCGAGACGAGCTTCAATTGTGACTGATTCTGGGCGGGGCTTCCCTTCACGGCTACGATCACTTCCGCTTCGAATACGATAACGAGCCGCGAAGGATCAGTTGCCCAATATGAAGTTCGATCTAGGCACGGAAGACCCCATGAACCCTTCGCGTAGGAACGTTCTTACTTTGCATCGAGTTTCCGATATCGGAGTTATCACTCAACTATAATTGAATCCCAAACAACGACTCATATCTGTGTTTTGTCTTCAAGAACAGCAACGATTAGTTGTGAAAAACGTCTTTCTTCGTCAAGGTCATTCCCAGTGTCGGCTGCGGTGCTTGCTGGCGGCGGTGCAGAGCGCCAGAGGTGCTCTTTCTTGCTCCTGTTCCTGCCCGTCTGCAAGAGCAGCTCTTCAGCCACAGCTCCTTGGTCGACCGAAAAATCGAGAGAAAGAGCAAGTCGGCTAGCAATCGGCTCCAGGCGAATCACCGACTGCACTTGCGTGAAATAATTTTGCCACCAACGCCCGAAAATTCATTCTTGTTCCAAGACGTCTCACGCTCCTATCCGACAGATATTCTACCACCCGTCATATCAAAAGGAGGAGAAGAAGTAGAAATTCGCTGTCATGACAGCGGATTCGTAACACGACGAGCCAGTTGCGTTAATCGAGCCTTGGAGGATTCCGAAAAGGATCACTTCAAACTAGACCCAGTAAATTATTCCCCCAGTGCGCTCGGCGGGCTTCCTGTCAACATTTCTCGAGAATAGCATTCGGTATGAAGCGTTTCCGAAGTCGAGCCATGAGAATTTCACCCGGAGCTCTTGGCCGTCTCTACTTCGAAGTCCCAGCATGGAGCCAAACTGAAAAACTCAGAATTAGGTACTATTACGTTCTCCACTCAAGGCAAACACTGCTTACGTTCGCAAACAGGAGTCCATTTGACACGATCCCACGTCTTCGGAGCTGCGAAGGTCCATCAGCGCGTCATCGGCGACCGTCAAAGTCATCAATATACTTCTAGTTGTCGCTTCCCGAATACAAAAAAAGCCTTCCCTTTGATTTTTATACAAAATAGGCTGTGCAGAGAATGTTGTCATCGAGTTAAGAAATCCATCTACATCGAGGAAAACAAACCGAAAAAAAATCATCCCCAACTCGTCCACAGGGTTTTTCCTTCAAAAGCGACCGACAGATACGAACTTTTTTTCGTGGTAAAAACGGTATTTTCGACGGGATTAAAAGATCAAACGGGAGAGTGGGGAGCCTAATAATTATGTTCGGAAGATCGTTCCTCCGAGAGGAACGTTTTTCGATCACACAGATCTCTGAGAAAACAGTCGACGATCGAAATCCCAATCGTCACCACAGGCTTCCCTTGCGGCCGAGGCGCAGGCGCGTTCCGATCTAGATCTGTCACTTCGTTGAACAGTGCTCGCGGCATAGCCGCCAATGAGCAATGACCGATTTTCAGGGACATTGACAGTGAAGAGATTAATTGGCCGATTATCTGGCACCGGAAAACACCAGAAACTCCCTTCTAAACGAAGTGAGAGAGGGATATCAATTTTAGACTGGAGTAAGACGACATGTCCGCCTTGTGGCACGCCATCAGCATCTATCCGTCTCATCTCTACACACTCGTATATGATGAAAGTTTAGAGAATATCAGAAGTGTCGATCTCTCGCGTCCAGACTCTCAGCCCAGCCTTAAGACTCTTGCTCAAACCAGACAAGAAAATCCCATGAAAGGCTCTTCTGCTCCGAGGGGTGGAGCGAAGCGCTCGGCCCTCAGGATCAGATCCTCCACAGAATCAATCCGCGGATTATCGGCGGAGGGCTGCAAGTTACCTGAGACTCATTGGATGAACATCAGCACCCCGTATGCGGTCGAATAGCGCGCATTTAAACGAGTCCCGGTTCTCGATAGCCCCGAAGTCTGTTCGAAGCATCGGTTCGCTGATCGGCCGCTCGGCTCTGCAGGTCGCTCATTGATTGACTGACGTGTTGTTGGACTTTAGCTTCGCTATTCTAGAACTATTCCTAGCATCGAGCTGGAGCGACCTTGACGTGTACTGGACGTCAATGGGTTCGGCGCGAATATTGTTGTTGCTAGTGGTGCCAAAATGCTGTCGTACGGCGCTTCAAAACTCCGGTCCTAGGGTGGGATAATACGCTCCTTTCGCTAATGAAGGGGCTCACACGAACGTGGGCAGACGACCAAAACCACCGCGGGGAAGTTTGACTTCTTGCGTTTTCCGTCGCTGAACAATATATCTACATAAGTGTATTTCTTGTCTAACGAATCGCCACCAGAACATTCCAAGAGGATCGAGCGGACTCTGTAAGGAACTTCAGTTTTCTGGTCGGCACTGTTCTCTCGTAGCTCGTCAAGACTCGCTGAAAGCAAAGGAAAAGAGACACTGGAACGAATATTTATTCTAGTTTCCAGAAGCGTATTCGAAAGTTCGTCTCGTAATGAAGCGCGGCATCCGAGAATCCAATTTCTGGGATGGTTTCAGATTAAGCTATGGGGCTCGCTTCAGACAGCAGCACTGCTGTGCCAAGTACGACACGATCTTGCGCCATCGAAACGGTGCGGGTTAAGGTCGTTCGCTCGCAGAATAAATAATTAAAAAAAGTTCGATGCTGTTCCGATCCGGTACCGGGTACGTTCTCAGCCAAATCCGCTTTCGATGCTCGCGAATTTTCTAGTGAAATATGTAGTCGAGAAATATGTTTTTCAAACATTCCAAGTCCAGGAACATCGAGCACCAGGAAGAGTCCTGTACGATGAGGGATACGGAGAAGGATTGTTTCCGAATCACACCATTCCGGCACTCCTGGCAGGCTCGCGATAGATGTTTTCCCATCATGGTTTTTCTGTTCTGCATGTTACAATGATCGCTAGATCGCGCTCGCAAGGGACATCGTCCGCCAAGGAGATAACGACAAGTTAGAGCCCAACCCACACGAACTCAGGGCCACGGTTATCATATATCCACACGTACACGAAAGCTTGACTGTTTCCACGAAACACATTCTGTCGCGGTCCTCGGTCTAGAATATGCAGCGATAGCCTGACTTCGTATACCGTCATACGAATGTGATCGCCCTTCAACAGAGCGTCGCGAATATTCGAACCGCTGATGCAAGCAATTCGCCTGCAGAGTTCGACGTTGTTACTTTCAACTCCACGGATCCTAACTCGAGATTTTGATTCCTTGCAGAAGCCACATCGATTGTTGGCGTGGCTGACCATAGCCACACTATTGATTTCTTCCGTAACGGCGGATGACTTGGTACCGAAGAGGAAGTCGAGTTTGCGAAAACAGAACAGAACCTCAGCAGGTAAGTCATCGCTCCCCATTCCAAATCAGATTAGCTCGTGTCTTTATACCTTGAGGCATCTCACGAAGTCCCTTAGTAGCGATTGGGAAATCTATATCGTCCCAGAAAACTGTCCGTGCCGCGACGACCGGCGTAGTCAGCTGCCGCGGGCTGCGCGAACTGTTTCTCGAGGTATCACAAATCATCGCTTCCGATACTTTCGAAACGATTTTTCGCGGACAGAGATTCGAGGCAAACTACGAATAGGAAGATCCTGTCGGTACCTCTCTTGACATTGGTGCGTAAAACGTTCCTTTCGCTCGCGTTGCGTCGGGAAACAAACACTGTATGTACGAAATTTCTCATCAGGGAATGTCGCTTTTGACATTCCGCAAATTTACCATGAGACTGTGTCGGCTTAGAACTTCTGTGACCTATTCTTCGACAAATGTGTGATGTCGGCAGAAAGACCCGCCTCGATTTGCGATTGTCTGAGCCTGACTCTTAAGCGAGGCCACAGAATCAGTGAAACATTCTTCTAATGCCGAATATTCCAACCAAAGTTGTTGGCGTTGTCTTCGATTTCTCTCGGACCTGATACCGACAGAAGATTCTGTTCCAACGTCGCTCATACATAGTACATCGGACCCTTGCCGATCTGCGCGATTGCAATTACGCGCCGACTCGGAAGGAATAAGTCGGGTTTCCACTGAAGTTCCTCCCCCTTAGATGGAGAACGACTAGAACTATTTTGAAATTCAAAATTATCTGTCGCAATGTTTTGCGTTCCCCCGTGAAATCGACATGCGAGCGCCGACGCCGTTTGCTTAGCACCAACGACTAAAGTTAGGACGGGCGGAAGAGCGAATGGCGCGCGGTCGGACTGCTTGCTTAGGTGACGTTTGGCCAAGTGCAGAGACGGGCGTTCAGTGTGTGGACTGGAAGGAACGACGTTCACTCCCGTACACGAGCGGAGCGAAAAACTGGATCTGGCGAAATCGGCTCTTCGACATAGGAACGGACTTTCCGAATTACGGCTAAATTATATAAGTGTCCAGAGTAATCAATGTCGTCATATACCTACTCATATCGATAAAGTAGAATAGAGCGCCGGTAGAGCCGTAACAGGCGAATGCGGCGACCGTCTCGGAATCGCATATTCTGATCAGCGGGGTCGGAGGCAAGAGCTTGGTTGCAGGAAGCTGACTTCGGAGTTTGTTCGGATTCCAGGGAGCAGAGCACTCAGACGCAGCGGCCTCCTGGCGGCACCTAATGCGGAACGTCGGAGGAAAAATCGAAAAAGCTCCAACTCCTTGCTCACTCCGCATCAGAGCAATGAAGTCGGGGAGGCTACGGACAAGAAAGTTGTCTGCTATTTCACAAATTGGGCCAAATACAGGACGGGGAAAGGTAATGGCTCTCAGAGTTTCAGAGTATACGCAGTGTTTGGGGAGCTGAGCTGAGTCGATCAATGTCCTTCAATAAGAGATTCCGAGTCGACTGGAATACCTGAAGATTCCCGATTGTCCCGGAGACTTCTTCAAAATAAATTGTTCTTATCTCCGAAAACAGGAAAATTCGGCCCAGAAGATGTTGACCCCTTCATATGTACGCATATTATCTATTCTTTCGGCTGGATGAGGAAAAACAAGTTGGTCGCTCACGATGTCGAAGCCGACGAATCGAAGAACGGCAAGAAGGGCGGCTTCGAGAAAATTGTTGATCTCAAGAAAGTCAACCCGAAACTGAAGGCAAGTTCGAATATCTTCTCCCGCTCTAGTCCCTTGAATAGATTCAATTAGAACCCTGTGTAGATGAAGCTGGTTTCTGATAGGTTCTCCTGGCCGTTGGCGGATGGTCTTTCGGAACTCAAATGTTCAAGGATATGGCATCCAATTCCTACAATCGAAGACTGTTCGTATTCTCCGCGATGGAATTCCTACGAAAACGGTGAGTTTCACAGGAGGGTAGGATACGAGAACATCTTGCGACGTCTCGATTGCTGACTCTGATTGACAGTGGAATCAGAGCCTGAGTTCGCTGCCGTGTTTCAGCAACTTCGACGGTCTCGATCTGGATTGGGAGTTCCCCCGCGGAAAAGAAGACAAAGACAACTTTGTGAAACTCTTGAAAGATCTCCGCGAAGCATTTGAGGTAATCCCTCCGAGTTTCCATCTTGGGCCCGTGACGCTCACGAGCGCTACCTTTGATCAAAAGCATCCATCTTCTCTCGATGATTCCTGACTAAGGCACTTTTCCGCAGGCGGAGGCCAAGGAGAAGAAATTGAAGCGACTCCTGCTGACTGCTGCAGTCTCGGCTGGAGCGGAAACCATACAGAGCGGATACGACGTCCCAGCTGTGGCTGCCTATCTGGACTTCATCAATGTAATGCTCACATACAATTGAATTTTTCTTCGGTCACATGCAAGTTTAAGCCTCCGACCCCGATGGGCGAACTGGCGCGAGGCAATCATCGACCTCGGATTCGAGAATGCTCGCCTGCATCATCCAGAGAAAAGTAATGTACACCTTTTCTAGCATATCTTGATATCTTATTCAAATGTTCTTTGTGACCTAGGTTATGTCATACGACTTCCACGGGAAATGGGAGAAGCAAACAGGACACAATAGTCCTCTCTATGCTTTGAGTTCGGAGTCCGAATGGAGGAAGATGCTCTCAATGGATTATGGTAAGTTCTAGATATAATCCTGCTGCGGAATAACCTGTCGATGAAGTGGGATCAGCCTTCGCATAATCGTCTGATTCGGATTATTCCGCGATAGGGGCGAAGAAATGGGCATCGATGGGGGCCCCGAAAGAGAAGCTCATCATCGGTCAAGGAACATACGGGAGAACATTCACCCTATCCAGCATAAAGAACAACGGTATGAATGCCCCTGCATCTGGAGGCGGCAAAAAAGGAGAATTCACCGGCGAAGAAGGATTTCTCGCTTATTACGAGGTTGGTGTTGGACAAGTTTCGAAGAATTCTGATCTGATTGAGGGTCGGCATTCGGGAACTTCTTTCGTTACGAGTTACTGCTCCTCCCTCAGATCTGTGATATGATGCGGAAAGGAGCCACTTATGTCTGGGACAATGAGCAAATGGTACCCTACGCCTATCTCGATGATCAATGGGTCGGTTTCGACGACGAGCGATCGATCCGGTGAGGGCTGCAATCCAACTTCCTATAGAAACATTTCCATGCAGAGAATCAACTCACGGCGATCAATCGATGACCAAAAACCACCTCCATTCCAGCAACAAAATGAAATGGATCAAAGAAAACGGATTCGGTGGCGCTATGGTTTGGGCTATCGACATGGACGATTTCAGAGTACGTACCAATGCGAGAGATAACGCTTCCGTGATCACAAGCACGCGAGCTCGAGGAACTCCCCTTCATCGGAGACTGTCCCGATCAGAATCCCGGGAATAGTTTCACTGCCTCCCCTTGGGATTCATCGTTTTCTTTCGGTTCCTCCTGAGGCTCCTCCGCATGTTCACACTTAACCTCGCTCTCATGCGACAATTGATCGTCGAAATTCTACACACTTGACTATAACCGCATCGTTGGAGCTTATTCAGTTTCATCTCTCTTCCAGGGAACGTGTTCGGACAAGAAATGGCCCTTGATAGGAGCTATGGGAGAAGAACTCCTGGGTCATCCTTCTCGAGGTCCCATCAGCTCGCTTGAAGTTCTAGCTAAGGCAGGCAATCTTTGTACTTCTGCCTAAAGTTCCATTGAATTCCCGGGGAGCGAGCGCTCCGAGAATTTTTCGGAACATTCCTCATTTCTTTTGTGTCTCCAGGATGTCAAGGCAGCTGCTCCCTACAAAAGAGAGAAGACTCCCGCTCGTAAAAATCCTCTCGAAGATCTAGCCAACGCTCCGAAGTCCGTCATAGAGGAGCAGAAGCGTCTGAAAGAAAACGAGAGTAATTTGGAGGATCACCCTGAGCCTGGTAATCACCTTGGTCTCATATAATTCATTCATCTTTGAACTTGGGCTGAATCATCCCGAATAATTGACGACATTAAAATTCAGACACGAATGCGAGAGTCATTTGCTACTTCACCAATTGGGCGACGAAACGCCGAGGTCGGGGAAGATTTGAGCCTGTCAATATCGACCCTATGAAGTGCTCGCATATCGTCTACGCCTTCGCTGGAATCAAGGATAATCAACTTGTACCAACTGAAGAAAAAGACGACATCATAGAGGGGGATAAAGGTGGGACCAATCACGGTGCTAGAGTAAGGAACCAATGATTTCCCAATTCCTCTCTTTCTCTCGATGTATTCCGAGCTGTGTTTAATTCAATCAATCATTCCTCAACAGGCTACTACGAGCAAGTGGTGGCCCTGAAGAAGAAGAATCCTTATCTGAGAGTCATCCTTGGAGTTGGTGGCTGGATGCTTGGTTCCGCACCCTTCCGAAACGTCACCGAGAGCTCCTACAGGTCTGTCCTCGGTACTTCATCAAAAGACTTCCCTTCTCGTCATGGCATGTAATTCCTATCGTCATGCATTCTCGCTTTCTGCAGACAAAACCTATTCGTCTTCAATGTGATCGACTTTTTGAGAGAGAAGAACTTCGATGGACTCGACATCGATTGGGAGTTCCCCCGTGGCGCGGATGACAAAGAGAAACTGAGCAATCTGGTCAAAGGTCATACCAATCATTCATATTGTTTCGGATGCGGATGAAGTCTGAAAAAAAAACATACTTGTGTTCTAATCATAATTCTTCGCTCGCTAGATCTTCGTCAGGCTTTCGATGGAGAGGCTCTCTCTGCGAAGAAGCCCCGTCTCTCACTATCCCTGGCCGTTCCTGCGTCATTCGAGGCGCTCGCCGCTGGGTAAGGCTCGTTCGGGCTCTGAGCGGATTGTAGATTGTAAGCGATGCTTCGGGACTAAAACTCGAATTCGGTTCTTCCTCAAGATATGATGTTGCTGAGCTGAATAAGCACATCGATTGGTTCAACATCATGACGTACGATTTCCACGGTGACTGGGAGCGACAAGTCGGCCACCACTCGCCCTTGTTCCCTCTCATCGCCGCTTCCGCCTATCAGAAGAAGCTCACCGTGGTACGGAGTCGGAATTACATTTGTGGAATGGCATTTTTTTCGCGGGAATTTAAACGAAAAGCTGCGGGAACTGATCCAGGTATTCTTATGTGCAGGATTTCAGCGCTGCTGAATGGGTGAGGAAGGGTGTGTCGAAGGAGAAGGTTGTCATCGGTATTCCAACCTACGGCAGAACCTTCACTCTGACGAACGACACTCTAACGGATGTGGGGGCGCCAGCCATTTCCGGCGGCCAGGCTGGAAATTTCACGTCTGAAGCTGGATTCCTCTCCTTCTACGAAGTTTGCGACATGCTCCGAAGCGGAGCCACCCTCGTATGGGATAATGAGCAGCAAGTGAGTCCGTGACCGATTGGCATCGATTTGGAATAGCATAACATCAACTCTTCCATGACGTAAGTCTCATGCCGACTTTCTTTGAAGGTACCCTACGCGTTTAAGGACGATCAATGGGTTGGCTTCGACGACCAGAGATCTCTCAAAATGAAAGTCCAGTGGTTGAAAGAAAATGGCTACTCAGGAGTCATGATCTGGTGAGCTTTCGAGAGTAGTTTTAAGAAAGTTTCCGTTTCGGTTCAAACGATCGAGAGCGAGGAATTTAAATGAGCTACATACCTAAGGTCAATCGATCTCGACGACTTCCGTGGAACGTGTACTGGGGAGCCCTATCCCCTCCTCAGTGCAATCCGAGAAGAGCTGAAGGGTTACAAGGTCCAGGGACTTGAGGCCGCAGCATCGATCGCCTACGGCGGCAACGGAATAAACGGTTCGTTGTCCCGCTCCGATAGAAGCGATCCGGTCTCCGCCCGGTGACTGTGGCGAGAGAAAAGTGACTTGAATTGAAGATTTTAACGAACAACATTCCGATACCAGATCCCTTCGAGGTTATCTGCGAAGACGAAGACACCCCCATATCTTACCATGTGGATAAGAAAGACTGCACCAAGTACTATTTATGCCAAGGGAAAGTGAGACATCACATGCCCTGCCCATCCGGATTAGTGTTCAATCTTGCTGAGAGGGTTTGCGATTGGCCAGATAAGGTACGGACTCCTCTCGCGCATGCCCGACCCTCAATGCCAGCCTAGTGGTGGACCCACAGGGAATGAATAATATCGGCCGGAACGTACATTTCAGGTCGAAGACTGCGCCCACATCGGCCAACCCAAAGACGAGTGATCTACAAAGAAGACATGATCGGCGTGATCTCCAAACTGACGAAGCGGAGGAATGACGGATAAGTTTTCTAAGCATGCTCGAACTCGCACTCACCACTCAGCGCCGAGGAGAATCACGATCAGCCAAAAAAACGAGATAATGTGCCACCTGATGTCAGAGATATTGAATTCGATGACGCTAACGCAAAGCTCTGAGCAGCTTCCAGAACTAAGGAACAAATATCGCCCCAATCATCGGGGCTTAGCCGCTCGTGCTATCTTGTGTACATAATTTGTATATAGCTTTAGGTAAATGATCAAGTTATCGTTCTGCTTATTGCCACTGCTCCATTGCTGTCATTGCTTCGCAAGTGAGACATCGAATGAGGTAGGAGAGATAAGGATAACAGCTAGTGAGCAATCCTCACATTATTTATTAGACTCACCTGCCAAACCTTCCGAAAACTGCAGTTCCGTCGAAAGAAGCCCAGGATTCGTGGAGGAATGTCCGTCCTCGGCGTGAAGCTCCAGGACAGCTACTGTGGTATTTACCCGCGTGGAGGTCAGAACGTTCCCCTACCCGGGAAGGAGAGTTTATTACCTCGATGCGCATCTACGCCACCGAGGGCTGTCAAATTTCATGCTCTCGCGGCGATGAACCGCTGATAGCGGAGTCTCTCCTCCCTTCAATTACTCGATAGCGCCGGCTGTTCTTGTTACTTAGGCACTTGGATTATCCTTCACGATAGAGATTGTGTTTGGAAAGACTGCGGTGGATTCCCTTCCGTCGATGACTTCATAGGATCCGAATGCTCATGAATTGAATAAAACCTTGTTATCTGCATGATCTTGGGGTCATGCATGATTTCGGATTTGAGGGTCCCATATAATAGGGTTAGATGTCGGAGATCCTGAGCTCTGGAGGAGTTCACCACTCCATTACGGGAAACGATAGTCTCTGTGCATGATTTCACCCCCGAATGATGAGTGTGCCGCGGTATGAATACGGGCGAAGTGTGCACTTCGATTAGTTGGAGCAGTAAAGAACTGTCTTACATCAACGATAAGGGAGCACCTCAAATGCACTCCGAAGTCTGGTCGAGGACGTTTCACGTCGGAAAGACCCGCTCCTTCTGACAACATTGAGGGCCAGCATCTAGCGGCGACAGATGCAGAAGAGTTTTTCAATCGACGCGACTGATCCGTGAATGTTTCATACAGTCTTGCTATACGAATTCATCCCCCGAGTGATGGAAGTCCCGTGAGTCGAAAAGTCTCCCACAGGCGGAGCAGTGCGGTTTCCCTGGCAGGATTCCCTGCGGTCGACGATATTGCATGCTGCTGGTGATTCATTCGTCTGCCGTCGTTCATTGAAGTCTCAAGGTCTTCCTCAGGAATGAGGAATGCTCGACAGTAGCGACAACAAATTTTATTCGGGAACCGATCTGAAATACACAGCCCAGATATGTGCGAGGTGAGCTCTTGAATTGGATTCCCGGGGAGAAGAAATGCATGGGTGGGGGTCCTGCCCTCATGCTAGCAACAAGAGTAATTTTTCGTTTTCTTGCGGCCTAGGACCGGAGTCCCATTGGTCAAATTTGAGCACAAGTCCGGTCTCTCCAGAATCTGGAAAAAATACTGGAGAGTAGCCCTTGGGACGTTTTCTGTCGGATCGCCGGAGGAGAACCCAGGTGACCGAACGCACTGACCTTGGCTCCAAGTTGGAGGAAACAGAAATCAACGTTCTTTCCAGTTTTTGCAGAAGTCTCGCAATGCAGCATTTCATGTTCCACAGCGAACATGACCGCTTCGGTATACGAAACTTCACGCTGGGAATCTTGATCCAGTTTGAGACCACACAGCAAAATCACTGGTTTCCGTTCGGTGCAGTATTCGTTGATCTCATCCAGCCAAGACGGCAAATTTTCGAATGTTTCGCGCCTCGTGATATCGTAGACTAGTTGAAGGTCGGCGAACAAGAAGAGAATTACCAACGGTGCTCATTAATACGAGTTGACGGCATTTCTCCTCGAGGCACTGAAGGTTCCACTCACCGACAATGACGCCATATGCTCTTCGATAATAGGGCCGCATAGGAGCGCGGAACCTCTCGGTGCCTGCTGTGTCCCAGATCATGAGTCTGACGACTTTTTCGCCCAGGGGAACGGTGCGAGACTTGAAGTCGAAACCCACCACTCTTCCGGAATTCTCCACGAACTTCGCCGTGATGAAGCGGAACATGAGACTGGAATAGGAATCCTCGGCTCACTCGTCCCGTCACGTCAAGCAGCCCAGCAGAGGAATAAGATGCTGGATCCGACTATGAGCCCCAACTGGGAGGTTGAAACGAGCTCCCCACCAGGTTCTAGATCAGGATGCAGGGCTATCCTGCAGTCGAGAACACGCTATGCAGGTTGAAACGATAATCAATGAACTCCTCCGACTGTTGAACGTGAGCAACATCCGGATGCTCCCCTCAACACACAGAGCGGGCTTTGATAAGATCGATTCCAGCGAATGAATCGGTTAGATCGATGAATCGAGACCCATCTTACTCCTCATGTCGTATGGAATTAGCGGTATGGAAACGATGCGGGCGAAAAAT